CGCTTAAAATTGTGTTGTTATTATCACAAGATTGTTTCGTAAGTTTTTTTTATTTGTTAATGAGGGACTATTTCATTTCGCGGAACACTTTTGTGTGGATACTATTTCCTGTTTAGGACGTCACTTGGCGCGAACAAACACTCTTTTTGAGAAAACACGTTCCCAAATGCCGGGAAATGGGAAAATCTATTCTCAAGTTTTTGAGAACAATATCTTCTTGAGCATTCTCATACTGACAATCCGTGACAATGAATGTATCATGCTGCCGGAAGGTGGTATACAGTAATATATACATGATAATACTCCATTATCACGATAAAGTGACCTTTTACACTAAAGGAACTGAGGAATTTTTCAATTTCAAAAAATATGATATTTTCTCTTCCCAAAATTACAGGGTGGTATGATGTAGAATTTTTCATCATCCCTGAAACGTAGCACAAATGTTTATTTCTAACTCATTATATACAAATGACCATTTTACAAAACAAGATATGAGATTTTCAAGATTTTCTCTGTGCTAATTGTATTTTTGAATTGGAGAAATTGGCGTGCCATTCAATTTGGTTAATCTGCTGGCCAGCTATATAGGCTGATACTTTGTGTGTGTGAAAACAACATTGGTCATTTAAGCAAATGAAACCATATTACTGTTAAGATGAACTACATGTTATAGTGTATTTTTTTTTTATCTCTGCAGCCAATGTCCAATGTGATGCAGTGATTTCGGCGGAGCGTTCTGACTAAGCCGTATAGTACTGTGGTTGATCTTTCTCAACATAATACAACAGTTACAGGCAGATATAACATTTCAAAATTGGTCAGACATTGAAATCTGAATACTTTCATGACCCCGAAGGACATAACAACATTATTTTCTACAACTAAGATCTTTAAAGGACTTGTCCTCTGTGATATTAAAGACATCCATAATTCTGCAGAACCATACGTAGGTTCTGATACAACTAGATGAAATGCTCAACTGACTTGGCTACAGGCGTTGAACACACCAATATATTTACACCCATATATGTTAACCGACGGCTATTTTTGATGATCTATTATTTGCCATTTCATTCCTCGTACAAGTATTTATACTGTACAGGGATAGGAACCTTTGAAATTCACTTTGTTTGTATTCGTGTGTGACTTAATGAAATGATACCAAGTCATGCGTTACGAGTGGTGTCACTCCGGCAACATTTGAATTCTGCATAACAATCGTCTGATCATCTCCAACTGTCCGGGGTCACCCTCCCACACACTCCATTACCACAGGTCTAGGTCCACGTGAATCAGAGTTAGAACTAATTTACATAGATCTGAGACGTAGGAAAAAGCATGGTTCAGTTGTCGGCTTAAGAAACATTGAAGAGTTCACGACCTGCACTAACACTTCCGGGATCCTGGGACACAAATTAAAAGGTACAAAATGGCGCCGCCGTTGTCTCCAGATCGATGTGAGGTTTAGCATGGGTAGATCATCATGCATAATATATGGCCGTTTTTGATGGGGATGGGGTTTATTGTATCCGTAGTGAATCTAGTAAGTTTGTAAATGACAAAACAGAAAATAGTAAAAATTAGTAGCCTGAGGTTCCTAGACACACTGACGTTTGTCACAAACTGAGTTTTTAAGAAACAAAGATCGTATGGAGAACTAGTGAGATTTAAGTTACAATAAAACAGAACCAAGAACTCTACCACTGTTCCCCAGTATTGTTATAAAACGTACGCTACCACTGTTCCCCAGTATTGTTATAGAACGCTACCACTGGTCCCCAGTATTATTATAGAACGCTACCACTGGTCCCCAGTATTATTATAGAACGCTACCTCTGTTCCCCAGTATTGTTATAGAACTCTACCACTGTTCCCCAGTATTATTATATAACGCTATCACTGTTCCCCAGTATTATTATAGAACGATAACACTGTTCCCCAGTATTGTTATAGAACGATTACACTGTTCCCCAGTATTGTTATAGAAAGCTACCACTGTTCCCCAGTCTTGTTATAGAACGCTACCACTGTTCCCGAGTATTTTTATAGAACGCTACCACTGTTCCCCGGTATTGTTTTAGAACGCTACCACTGTTCCCCAGTATTGTTATAAAACGCTACCACTGTTCCCCAGTATTATTATATAACGCTACTACTGTTCCCCAGTATTATTATAGAACGCTACCTCTGTTCCCCAGTATTGTTATAGAACTCTACCACTGTTCCCCAGTATTATTATATAACGCTACATCTGTTCCCCAGTATTATTATAGAACGCTACCACTGTTCGCCAGTATTGTTATAGAACGCTACCACTGGTCCCCAGTATTGTTATAGAACGCTACCCCTGTTCCCCAGTATTATTATATAACGCTACTACTGTTCCCCAGTATTATTATAGAACGCTACGACTGTTCCCCAGTATTGTTATAGAACGATTACACTGTTCCCCAGTATTGTTATAGAACACTAACACTGTTCCCCAGTATTGTTATAGAAAGCTACCACTGTTCCCCAGTCTTGTTATAGAACGCTACCACTGTTCCCAAGTATTGTTATAGAACGCTACCACTGTTTCCCAGTATTATTATAGAACGCTACCACTGTTCGCCAGTATTGTTATAGAACGCTACCACTGTTTCCCAGTATTATTATAGAACGCTACCACTGTTCGCCAGTATTGTTATAGAACGCTACCACTGGTCCCCAGTATTATTATAGAACGCTACCACTGTTCCCCACTATTGTTATAGAACGCTACCACTGTTCGCGAGTATTATTATATAACGCTACTACTGTTCCCCAGTATTATTATAGAACGATAACACTGTTCCCCAGTATTGTTATAGAAAGCTACCACTGTTCCCCAGTCTTGTTATAGAACGCTACCACTGTTCCCCAGTATTAGTATAGAACGCTACCACTGTTCCCCACTATTGTTATAGAACGCTACCACTGTTCCCGAGTATTTTTATAGAACGCTACCACTGTTCCCCGGTATTGTTTTAGAACGCTACCACTGTTCCCCAGTATTGTTTTAGAACGCTACCACTGTTCCCCAGTATTAGTATAGAACGCTACCACTGTTCCCCACTATTGTTATAGAACGCTACCACTGTTCGCGAGTATTATTATATAACGCTACTACTGTTCCCCAGTATTATTATAGAACGATAACACTGTTCCCCAGTATTGTTATAGAAAGCTACCACTGTTCCCCAGTCTTGTTATAGAACGCTACCACTGTTCCCAAGGATTGTTATAGAACGCTACCACTGTTCCCAAGTATTGTTATAGAACGCTACCACTGTCCCCCAGTATTGTTATAGAACACTAACACTGTTCCCCAGTATTGTTATAGAACGCTGGGGAACAGTGGTAGCGTTATATAATAATACTGGGGAACAGGGGTAGCGTTTTATAACAATACTGGGGAACAGTGGGAGAGTTCTTGGTTCTGTTTTATTGTAACTTAAATCTCACTAGTTCTCCATACAGATGTAGCGTTCTATAATAATACTGGGGAAAAGTGTTAGCGTTCTATACCAATACTGGGGAACAGTGTTAGCGTTCTATAACAATACTGGGGAACAGAGGTAGCGTTCTATAATAATACTGGGGAACAGTGATAGCGTTATATAATAATACTGGGGAACAGTGGTAGCGTTATATAACAATACTGGGGAACAGTGGTAGCGTTCCCCAGTATTGTTATAGAACGCTACCACTGTTCCCCAGTATTATTATATAACGCTACCACTGTTCCCCAGTATTATTATAGAACGCTACATCTGTTCCCCAGTATTATTATAGAACGCTACCACTGTTCCCCAGTATTGTTAAATAATGTCAAACTCGTTATCTATCCTAGTTAACCTAGTTGTCAAAAGAGAACAGATTGTGTGGTGAACACAAACAAAGTTTACACATATTCTAAACAAGAAATGCGTCGCGTGGACAATCCGAAAACCAAAGCAGTATTGTGGAGCGTTGAAAAACAAATGATAAAAAGAAGAACGAGAGTAGAGACAAAATAAATCGTAGAAATATAAGTCCGACAATAAGTTCACATTGATTAACAGATACATAATCGAGATTCATTTGAGTCAGAAAATAGTCAATATGAGATGAATAGCGTAGCCTATAGCACGACAAAAATACGGGGTCTGTCTCCCGCCAAGTGATGAAGACGAACTAATCGCTGTCAATGTCTATGGTTGTCGTTTATAGTGAGAGTTCCGCCATAGAGAAGACCTATAGTGATAACGGGACGTGGGGAGAACAAAATATTTTCCGACACTGTGACAGATCTTGACAGATCTTGTTTTGGTTTCACAACCTGGACACGCGACGGTGTGACGTCGAAACGATATCGAGCGTCTGTAGCAAACTAGCGTTCAAATCTTTAAGTATCATATTCTTTTGATATGACCTTTTTATTTAATAACTCCCTTCCCCATCGCTTAACGGCACAAAAGTCACCAACATTTGCCGGATGTTGACAGCAGATGACGTAAACAAAACAGCACGCGGCAAAAAGCTCGTGAAAAATGTCGTCCGGTCAAGGTTCATCTTCTCGACCAATCAAAACTACGGAAGGCCATATACCACGTGTGGTGTATAACTCATATTTATTCAACAGTCTGCATGTTACACAGCGTATTGTGGTAGAAATGGTATACAAAGATAGGAGTCAGATAAATATTATATAGAGATAAGAGTCAGATAAATATTACATTAATATAAGAGTAGGATAAACAGTGGATTAAACTAAGAGTAAGATCAATGGTAGAAAAATATAAGAATAAGATAAGTAGTAAATAGATAAAGGATAAAGTCAGATGAATAGAATGAATATTTTGGAATAAAAAACCTGAGATTACAGTCAGATAAAAAGTATGCTTACATTACAGTAAGACAAATAGTAGATTGAGATAATTTGCCGGTTGGAAGTTCAGATAACATTTTACATAATAACATACAACAGTTAGGCTTACCTCTGGTTTGAACTAGGGATAAAGCGAACAAGATGAAAATCCCCATTTTTCTGTCAGTTTTCAGGTAACGAAGGGAAATGAAGCCGGTCAATGTGTACAGGTGGAAACACAGGTGGATGGCCTATGGTCACTTACAATTGTAAGGTATGCAGGTACTCCCCCTTATATAGACTTTAGGGGTAATGACCAACGCATTGCCACAGTGAGGCCCAACAGGGGGTTCAGTCGTTTTCTTTTCAAATTTCATTTTATCTTCTAAACTTAACTCTCTCCTTAGTCTTTTATCACCAGCAGACTGATACAGCCATTGCTATCAGTTGTGTTTTAGGTTTCACGACCGAGGCCGAATCATCATGAAGTAATAACTCGTTTAGTCCGTACATGGTGTCCAAGTTGAAACTGTGTCGTATAAAAGTTTAGTTCATAAGATTGTTGGAAACAAAGGACAGATATTTATATAAAACTCAAAAAGAAAATAAGCAACAGCATGTTTAAGTACTTTCATCTCTTAAAGGCGATACATATGTGTCCATTCTATTTTATATGATTTTCCTTTCCTTTTAGTTGTGAATATTTCGTAATATGTGGGGCATGTTACCGACCGTAAGAAATTACAGATACGAATTCTCCCTGAAAGGCCCCAGTTAAATTTACAATCCTCACTCGATTTCCCCCCGATCCTGAGCATGCTTATGGTGCCCTATAAACTAATTTGAACCTCAATGTTTATTACGCTTGTTTAATTAGGGGTGTGGACCGAAGTGGGCGGGGCTCCTTACAGTTGGTATTTCCGCTTACCATGTGATGGGTCTACCCAGCGGTCAGTTTTACATACAAAGCACTGACAATTCAGGTGTCAGTATACACGTTAGGGAAAAGACAAGAACGTGACCAATTTAAGGCCATTAGTTCAGGTCTATTCTATGAAAAAGATCAGTTGTTGAATATCAAAAGATCATGATCATTGATAAGATTACTCACTTCGGGTTAAAAAGATTTGTAAATGACCTTTTCCAGACAACTCAAGATTGAAGAATCTGTTATCCTCTTAACACGTTTATACAGTGTTTATGTAAAATAAATACTTAGTCTAGCAATTGAAGCGTTTAGTTTTTGCTAACTGTTATTATTTATTTATTTATTATTATTTGAAAAATTAAGAAATTACTGTATATCTAACCGGAAATTTCACGGTCACAGGGCGATGTATAACTATATTTGTTTCCGTTATCTACTCAGTATGTTGTATAGTATATCAGTTAGACACGGTCA